CCAGGTTAGGGTCAGTGGATCTGGGACCATCTTACTAGTGAGGAGCCCTAACAACCAGGCAGGCTCCCACCATCTCATGAATGCAGATGCAGGAATTCCTTTCAGGGAAAGTGGGTAGCATACTAGCCATGCTTGAAATTTGGAGTTGGAAGGGTTACTTCCCCTTCGAGGCCTGGCAGGCAAAGTTCTGTAATTGCCTCTGGTTGGACCCAAAAAGGGTTTTTAATCAGGAGCAGAACTCCTTGGTTTATTGGTTTACATCTGGCCAGAAATTCTGGGTTCTATTAGACACTAATGACAAATAAACTTGAACCAATTGAAAACAAAGGGTAATTTATGAGAAGGTTATTGGGACATTTTAAATAATGAAATGCGAAGAATAAAAAAAATGATGGGCATGACTTGTGATAGAGTTGAGCTTCAGAAGCAACTTCAAGAATTGAAATCTTAAACATTGCCAGGACTCTCCTTTGAACCCTGTCTCGTGTATGTCAAGTTCATTTTCTTTTACTGGGGTCTCGCTGCCCAGGCAAAATAGGGACTTCACTGGAAAGTTACTGGGATGGTACACTACCCAATTATTTTGGATTTTGGTTTTGTCTATGGAGCTTTGCATCATCAGAGAAGGTACTTATTCTAACAATGATACCTATGATTGACATTGACAGAAGTTAGCTTGAGTTAGATGAGATAATATGATTCGGAACAACTTTAGAGATTTGCATATTGCAGTTCTATTACTAGCACTACCATTCCCAGTTCTAGTTGGGGGGAGGTGGGAGAGAGGAGAAGAGTGAGAGAAAGAGAGAAACTGATTGGCTCCTTGGCCCAATCACATTACTCCCATAGTAAATGGCCTTTGGGCTCCACCCTGTCTATTGGACATCATTCCCTTACAAGAAGGAATTATTAGCCAGAAAGAGGTTTAGAAAATTCTTTTTTAAATGCATGAAAAAAAAGTATCTAAGAATTTAAAGAAAAATGGATTATTGGGAAAACTTAGCAAACAACTTTTCATATTGTTTTATAAATATAGGAAACACCAAAAGTCACTACATGGTTCAGTAGTTGTTTTCTTAGCTTTTTAGTAAATTTATTTATCAGTATTTCTTTTGAGTTCTTATGTCTCTCTTCCCCTTCACACCCACCCATCCACCCACTCGCACATACATACCATTATTTCTAAGTCTTAGGATACAAAAAAAAAAAATGAAAGATGAGGTTTCTGTTCTGAAAAGCAATTACTTTTCCTCTTTCCCTGTGATTTTCACCTTCAGTGTGCTAAAATTTTAGTTGAATTGCCCATATCACTAGTTCAGTACACAAGTCTCTGGAAGTACATGTGCCTTTCCAACCGTAACATTTGCCTGATGTTCCAATTTTTTTTCTGTTAGTCCAAAAAAATGTTAAGTATAAAACAACATGCTGTATTTAATAAGGCTAGGAGGAATGACTGCAGTTCTAGTTTCTATTTAAACAGCTCACATAATTTAACATTTCATTGCAGTTCACGATGCCATCCTTGGCTATTTGGATTGATACCCCGTCATTCCAATAAAGATTCAAGAGGAGCTAGCTTCAGCATTACAGAATAATGACTTCTTAAAAAACTACTCTATTTCATATGAGATAGACCTCAATGACTACCATTACATGTCTGGCAGGAGGTTATAATTATGTTATACTATTTATCAAACTGCTAGCATTCTGGGAAACAAAAATTTTAGCTTCCCATAAGAGAATAATTCTATTTCATAAGCACTGCCAGGTGGCAAAAAGCACAGGTCCACAAGCTAAGTTACTCTGTGTCTTGCTTCAGAGTCCAAAAAATGATAAATGTGCTGATCTTACCAGGTTATAGTGAGGTTAAATGAGATGATCCATGGGAAATGCTTAAAACCTGCCTGAAACATGGAAGTACTCATTGCTAGTGCTGTTACCATGCCTGGAATGCATCTCTGTGAGGCAGCTGGGTGAGCAGTTACTGCACTTCTGCGCAAAGCATTCTGTTCAAATCTCGAATTGATACCACTGTTTGGGTGATATACTTATTTTCAGCTTCTTTGAATGCAAATGCAGAGAAACATCACCTGCTTTAACCATTTCTAAGAGTCAACTCATGGCCGAGAGCACTATAGTTCATATATCAACAGTTTATTTCACACATATATTCTCTCCGTAAAGCTAATTATGGCATTATTATGGCTGTGAGACTAGACAGTACTTCAGCTCTGTGATTGGGGGCTATTTCAAGCAGCAAATTCATAACAAAAAGCACAAAAATGCAGGAAAGGGGACACTTGTTTGCAGTATGAAAGCTGAAGCAAGAAGACAGCATTGCCTGGTTCATCTTCAGTTGGGAATGAGTGTTGGGCAATTCAATTATTTCCTTGCTCTTAGCATGCCATGAATAACCGTGGAAGCACAGTGAGGACTGATTTTGAGGTTACAGGTAAGTTTTATGTTTATTATGAGGAGCAACTATATATTTGACTATGCTATTGAGGTTATTCACCTTTATTGTGTCTGTTTGGTAGACATGAAACTGTTTTAAGGTCTTCTCTTCCAACTCTTGTGTGTGATGGTATTACTCCAGTTGCTTAAAATTGGCCATGTGGTATTTTTACACCAAAGCAAATGCTATAATTGAGGCTTGATTTGTTGATTGTCTAGATTCAAGAAAGTGATGGAGAAAATATTATCAATGCTGGGCCTCCCTGATGGCACAGGCAGTTGAGCGCCGCACTGTGAAGCTGTCTGCAGCCTCTGCAGTGCGGGTTCGATCCTAGCTGGCCGGCAAGAATCCCACATGGCGTGGCAGACCTCTCCTGTCGCCTGTCGTGCCCGCTGCACCCCTCAGGAGTGTATTTTGTCAGTCTTCCTGTTCTGTTCCCCGCTCTGTCTCTGGTGAATCCTCTCACCCTCCCGCGCATCTGGCCTGTACCCCGGTTCTTGTATAAATAAATAAAATCTTTGGAAAAAAAAAAGAAAATGTTATCAATGCAGATTAAAGTTAAAACTGTGTCATGTCTGGAGCTACTATATTGAGAATAGCAGAAAAAAAATTAGGGAAATATCCTTCCATTATTCAAAAATGATTGTTTGATGCAGTAAAGAAATTCCTTCATGATTGATGAACCAGTGAAATTCTGCATCTTCATTGTTTCAGCTTCATTTTAATCATTAATATAAAAAAAATCAACCAATGTTCATGTCAGCAATACATCCTTTCACTAATTGCAAAAACAGGTTGGCTATGACAAAGATCAATGAAAGTATTCTGTGAGAATCAATTGTTAAATGGAATTTACTATTATGTATTTTACTATGATTTGTAACTTGTGTCCTATGCATCCTTTATCAGGAACATTTATAATTTAACTGCATTAATTTCCAGAAAGTTAGTTTAAGTAGCATACCACTACTTCTAGCTCAGTGACCTCAATTATTTAACCTGCAAACCTCAATTTAGTTAGGCATAAAACAAAGAAGAATAAACATACCTATCTCACAAGATTTTGAGAAATGAATGCATCATGTTCCCAAACTACTGTTTCTAAGGTAGAGACTCAACAAAAATGTCAGCTCTCACCTCCTCACCCACCTCTCCTGGAGGACAGAACATTGACTTAAATCCTCCCTGTGCACATGCACCCCCATCTTCCCAGAGCAGGTCCTGGAGGCTGTGTGGTCTCTTAATAGCCAGGTGAAAACTCACCACTAGGTGGCGGAAGCGAGATGCCTTTGCTGGCTTTAGTTCTTCAGACAGAATAATTGATTAAGAATACCAATTAAAAGACACAGATTATCTGATTGGATTAGGAAACAGACTACTGTAATACATTTTACCCTTACCAGGCTGAAGAGAAATGTACTTAAACCAGTTACTTCTCGATAATTCTAGTCTGGTGATTAACGTTGGCACCAGGAACAAAAATGTTAACCTCTGGTCCTCATTTTGGACAGGTATAAAACGATAAAAGGTTTGTTGTTGGCAGAACCGGTTTCCCTTTGGCAAACACAATACCTTGTCCTCCTAGGCACACAGAGTCTTGAGACCACTGCTTGCTGCTCAGTTCTGCTTTCCACACTTAGGGCCCACTGTCTAATGAAGAGTCAGAGAAGTCCCCTTCCCACCACCCTCCATCTTCCTGCCACATCTCCCATAATCAGCACAGATTGTTAATGTGCTCCCTACTTCTCACAGGTAACAAGCAATGTAAACTCTTCTGGAAACTGATGACTTAAGGAGATGATTCCTCTGGCCTCTTTTAGCAGAGCTGGGGATTTTCCAGAACTCTCTAGCTCACCTGTCTGGTCTCAGGTCTTCTGGGAGAGACCAGTTACTTTTTGTTTTGATGGCACCTCCCTGGAGTCTCAGTGAAGCTTGAAAACATTCACCTGCCACCTGTTGGTGAGGATGCCCACCCCCAAGCAGCCCCTCATCGTAGGACCACAGGCTCCCAACCATTTAGATGCTCCAAACAGTCTGGAAGCACTCAACTTTCCCCCTCTTAAAGGCAACTTACTGATCATCAACATTTGAGAATGAGGACAATGAGAATAAGCTTGATTAGTCTTCTGTCTGCATGGAATTCAGGGAATAGACTTTGAATAAACCTAGCTCACTTAATTTAGTTCCACAATCTCTGTCCCCACATCTCCATTAATGATGTTGATGAATAGTTTTATACACACGTGGGATGGTTCTGGTCATATTAATGAACCTTTTTGAAGCTGTCCTAAGGTGGATCAATATTGAACATAAAAGGCTAAAATATCACTTTCTTCTTAAGTGCAGACACTACTCCTGATCTGAAGCACAACAAATGCTCCCTTGTTTTGCTGAACGGAACTAAACACCATGGTGGTGTAAATTTCTGGGTGTCTATGTGGTGGTCTTTGAATATTACTGCAATAACCAGCATTTCTGGCTGCTGAGGAATGAATAACATTCTCCAGGAAAACTCTGAAAGAATAATGGCTTAGAAAGAAGGACAAGGCCCACAAGACAGCTTTTTTTTCTTCAGAGTTTATTTTGAATGTTCATTTTTGGATAACCAAGCAGCTCTTTAAGGAGAATGCACAGAAGAGTGATTCTGGCACTTCTGGATAGTACATAAGATTTTTTTAATAGTCACATTCAGCCCACTCGCTCACTCCATACTCCATGTCTGGTGAGCAAGATTAGCCCATAGGATTCCAGAGTTAATACGTAACCATATATACAAACAGCCAATAAAACCATAATGGTGGCCGGTGGCCAAAGGGATGGAGTAGGGAGGGGTATCTCTAAAGTGTCCTCTAGTCTATCTTAGCTAAACAGAATCCACATCACACATGAGAACTAGAGAGTACACTGCGTTGAAATGAGAATTCTGAGCACAAATGGGCACTTGGCAGCATGCAGTCTAACAAAAAGGGTATCGTTTAATAACTTTATAAAATCCAGGCAGTTCAATAAAAGGAGTTAAGAAAAACAAAACAAAAAAGTGAGGGACTGTCTGTTGTCACTGTAAAAAAGGCACTTGGAGTTAATGGGACCAGGATCGAAGGACTCTTAGCTGATGGAAATTTCAGTATGATTTCATTAAAAGGCTTGGCTGTTAAGAGATGACACTGAGGAGTTCCTGAAAGGAGACACTGAAATAAACCACCGAGAAACAGAACAGATTAAAACAAAGGAATGAAATCTTTACAGCCGAATTGTGTTTTTTAAAAAAAGCAAACTGGAAACGAAACCTAACCAAAGCAAAAATCTAAGCAAATTCAGATCATGAAGCAGCGATGCATAGCTTTCCTTTGAGATAATGCATACCTTGAGACACTAAGTGCCAAGCTCATTTCTCAATGATAACTTCATAGTAGCATTATCATGATACAACTGATTCAAGCAATGCAAAAAGAGTTTCATCTGCTCCCAGCATCTGAGGGAGAACTGAGGTTATTAGAACCTAGCAACATCACGTGCGGCTTTTCAGTGTCCTTGGACGGATGTGTCCAGTGCGTGGAACAACATTCAGAGACTACGTTCAGCCACCTTCCGGGAGGCGAGGCCTCCATGAACATCATCCTCTATTCTGAGTAGTAACTAGCATGTATAGCGCACAGTACTGCAAAGCCCACTTCCCACGCTGGCGCTGTTCGGCTTCCTTCACAAGCAGCCAAGAGCTTCTGTAAGAAAGAATTTTTGGCAATTTTGGACTCCACCGTTGGGTGGCTCTGGAATAGCTCATTTGATGTTAAATGCCATCAGGGGTCTCTCCTCCCGCTTCTGCCAGGGGCTCTTCTTGTCTTCTCCTTGGTCGTCATCATCATCATCATCTTCATCTTCCTCCTGAGCAGGTCTTCTCTGTTCGGGACTGGCCAGCGGCTCCGGGGGGATGTCTGCAGTTCGTTTTGTCGTCTCCTCCTGCAGGCTGGGCAGCTGGCTGCCGCTCCTCCGGCTAGAGCCATCCAGCAAACACCGCAGGGCACTGTCCTCGGGGGTACAGACGGTGGTGCCGCACTCACTGCCACTTTGGTCCATGTCGTCCAGATAGACGAGCTGCGTGTAGGCCGTGCTGTCCGCAGCCCGGAGCTCTTTCTGGGGATGCTCCTGGACAGGCGGGTGGTTCTGTGAAAGAGACAAGGGGTCCCCTCTTCCCTTCCGGGCAGATTTTGGTTCATTCATATCCACACCAGAGTCCAAACTGGCATCGTTACTTCCATTCCTTCCAGCTCTTTGGAGATCAATGTACGAATGTCTAACATGCGCATTGGACCTGCCATCCAGGGAGACAAACCATGCCCGGGGGTGTGGCAGTGGCTTCCCACCCCCTAGTTCCATCAGAGCCTTTTCCGTCAGGAGCTGGACCTCGCTGTTCATCTGAGCCAGGGCAGCATCGTTCAGGGACGCTGGGATGGACAGCGACTCTGACATGGATGCATTCTGTGGGCTCCACTCCCTAGAGCCGGCGTCCTGCAAGTGCTGCTGGGAGATTGCCTGGCAAGATAAGGGCTGCGCTTGGATCTGGGAGGAGGGGTGTGGGAAGATCCCTGCATGAGGGCTGGAGAGCTCAGCCTGTAGTCTCTCTATTTCAAGCTGCTGGTCAGCTGGGACCACCAGGGGCTGGCCCACATAGGAATGGTCCCCTGGGAGTTTCATATAATGAGCGGGGATGACCAAGGCAGGTAATACTTTTCTGTAAACGCTGTCATTGACCTGATCAACAGAACTGCAGCAGATCAGCTGGCCGGGCCGTGGAAAAGATGTAGGTCTTTCTAGGTGGTCTACTGACCGAGACATCATACATTCGGCCGGCCTGCGATCCAGGAGCTGCTCCTTTTCAGGAGAGGAGGGTGCGGGGTACAGGTGTTCCTGAATGGTGAGCTTACTTCCTGTGGAAATATGGTGGATGGAGGCCTGACTGTCTCTGTCTTGCTTGTCAAATAAAGACTGTGAGAGCATGGCATTGTAACTCCTCCTGTAGTCACTGCTGCCAGGGGACTCGTAGCCTTCTCTCTCCAGAGACTTTCTGGACTTTAAGGGAAAAATCTCCACAGACTTGTGGTAGTCTTTTCCCAGTGTGCCACTTGGTGTCAAGTTATCGAAGGAGATTTGGCTTTTGTCCTCTTCCTTATGGGAGAGCAGTTCCTCCCGAGAGCTGAATTCTTGTGAGGTACTGTAGGACAGCTTGAGCATGGGGGTGTGCATGTCCACTTCTCCGCTGGACGAGACCATCTCTAAGTGGACTCCGCTCATCAGCTCCTTTGTGCCTGAGGCATCGGGGCGGCCGTGGCTGGTGACAGAAAGCGGGCCAGGGAATTCTGACTCCCGACGAGAGAACAGCAAGTTTATGTGGGACATGGAAGTCGACTGATCTCTCTTGGAACTCTCCAGGGCTGCGGGAAGTTGCAGTTTTCTGTGGTGCTGACGAGGTTTCAAGCACTTCCGTCTGCAATCAAAGATAGAATCCAAACCCAAAGATTAAAGAGTCATAGTCAAGTTTCAAGTGAAGTCTTAATTCTCAATTTCCACAGGAAGCAACAAGACAAACCACTAAATTGGCAGCCAAAAGCCTTCTCATCCCACACCCCCATCCTTACTTTAATTCACAGCAGCACAATCCAGAGATTTCCCCCTTGGCCATTTATATAAGAGCATCCAAGTATTCATTTAAAGCTGTTACCCACAGCCTATGAGAAACATTTTCACAAACTGAACAGATGAGGTATCAAAATGAGACTATTTCTGCTTTGTCCTTGAGAACATCATCTCTGAATTAGTCTTCTGGAATATTCTGAATGAATCACATCACAACTATCAAACTTTTAAAAAATAACTCTCCTAAGCAAGGTTAGACACAGCATGCCTCACTGGTCCTGCTTGTTTGTTTGTAACTTAGGTGACAAATGTTTAGTTCTCAGATAGGTTTTCATGAGTAAAAAAGGACCTCATTCGAAAAAAAAAAAAAAAAACCCTCAATATCAATACTTGCACAAGAAATTCCAAATTAAAAAAGATATTGCCAAAATGGTAAAACTTTACCTGCAATAATACAAAAGGAGACACAGCAAAACCAAAAGTATGAAAGCCATTCCTCCTAAAATGGCCAAAAGAAACACCGTGTGATACGTGGTAATGTCCTGTGTGACAACGGGACCTAGAAGGTCAGAAAAGGGCATTTTAGATTTGTGAGAACCTTTAAATAAAAAGAAGGATAGATAGTCAACAAGAACATAAAGTCTTTTCCTTCTTCTTCCTGGCTGGGAGGGTGGAGAAGGACCCAGATGGAAACCCCCTTCAGATGATGCGCTTGCGGCAGCACCAGAATCTCACTCAGAGTAAAGGGATTAACACGTCCATTACTGCAGCAGCTGTGGCTGGGAGCACGCTGAATACACAAATACTAAATGCAATGTCAAGAGTCCCTCCTTGGCTAAGAAGAGAGCTGCATCTGGTAGCATGTTCAGCATTTTAAGTACTTGATCTTTTAATAAAAGAAAATGGATGCATGAAAATATAATGAATGGGACTCTTACATTCAGAGATGGCTTGAATAACTGGGGATTTTATACTGCAGGGAGGAAAAAAAATCCACAAGATTTTATTCTCACTTCCCTGGGCAGTCAATTACTGTGTGGAGAGCCCTTCACCTAAATGAATCAGTTTAAATTTAAGTATAAAATAAATTTACTATGACTTTTTAAAAATCCCCAGCTTATTATGGGGGTGTTAAACATTTTTAAAATGCCTTCCACTTTTACAAGTAACATCTTCCTCTCTAATTACCTTTTCAAAATGGTTACCTTTATGTGTTTTTCAGAATTTAAAGACAAATGCTTATCAGAGAAAAGCATATTTTCCTTTGAATTTACACTGCAAATAATCCTAAGAGGTAGTCTAACTTAGACTCTTTATATTCCATGTAGCTAGGACAGACCCTAATGTAATTGATGAGAGATTGAAAAGAACAATGAAATCCTCTCCAAATGATAAGATTTGGACATTTCTTGGTGTCTGGGTATCCTGGCAATGCACCAATAGTTGGAAAGGGATGTGGCTTCACGTTCTGTTAGAGTAGCATGGCTATGACCACTAAACACCCATTTACTTAATGATTTTTTTAATATTCCACAGGATAGATTTCTTTGAAAATCTTGAGGCAGACAAATCTTAATTTGAGAACTAGATAACCTCAGGAGAATTATTAGTTTTTGAAAATAGTGACAATATTTATGGTTTGAAAGCTCATTCTCTCCTAAATATAATTCAGTTCAATGGGGGCAGAAGGGTGGAGCTGATGTTTACAACAGTAGGAAAAAAACCTGCAAACTAGATATTGCCTAAATTGTTCAGAGAAACAAGTATATACGCAAAGACAACCCCCAAAGACATAGGCAGTGCCTTGGCAGGAATTACCAAGAAATCTGGGCATACATAAAAATCATTCCAAAAAACTGCAGTTCAGTCCTTTGAGTACTTAATTGTTATTATTGTAACTTCTGTCAATTAAAATCTTTAAAACATAAAATCACTCAACTGAAATTCAAAGCCATACTTCACTTCCTTCTTAACCAGGGAATTAAAGAAAAAACCCTAAGGATTTTCTTGTTGGGTTTAGGTTCATGAAGGTACAAAGCATCATTGTACTTTGTTTAATGAAAGTAAAAGCTCCGAGGTTACCAACATACATGTGTTTCTACAGAAAACACCATCGGGGGCTGAGCTATATGTGTTTTTAATAGTTTTTGTCTCTTCTTTCACAGCAGGGAGGCTACATTGGACTTACTACCCCCAGCACTGCTCTCTCCCCTCTTTATAAAAGCATCTATTAATCTGTCACATGATGGGAAAACTGACAGCCATGGCTGCTTGGAATATATCTAAAATAAAAGTTAACTTTAATGCAGGGGCTTTGCGGCCTCAGCATTGGTACTTAAGGAATTTCTTCTCCTTCGTTAGTTCCTTCCTTCCTCTTACTCATAGTGCTGATAGTTCAGATTTAGAGACTGGGCATTTTTGTACCTGGTTCATGCCTGTATGGCTATAAGAACAATATCACAAAGGGAAACATGTACCCTTAAAACATGGATGTAAAGTACCAATTTTCTCTGTATGGGACTATAAAGTAAATGGGACATATTTTTCAACATCCATCTAAAGGATGGTCTCCATCAAATTATTTACTTTGGGAGTCTAAGTCTTCATTCCAGAGATGATTCCATTTCTGAAATATTTTGAACTCCCATTTCGGAACTGTCTTTGTGGGTAATTTACCAGAGACACCTTTTAATCACTGCACACTGTTAGTGTGCGGCCATCTCAACCAGTGACTTTGTTCACTAGACTGGGAAATGCGTGACTTTTAGATGTGTCTGTGAAAAATCAAAGGGGCCCTCTGAGCATATAGATTTGCCACTAGTGAAGAGTTTCACTGATGAAGATAGTCCAAGTGATTCAGATTCTAAAGGCATTTTAAGCACAGAAGCCATCCCTATAAATAATTTTCCCAAGATGACTATTTGAAAAATAATTCTTGACTACTCATTGGGATAAATTAGGGCATGTAGGCTAAAAAAAAATTAGTTAAACTTCAAAAATGTGAGTTAATTCACAGATTCTATAATGGAGATGAATATTCTTTCAGACACAAAGCAAATGGCCTGTGCTTTCAAATTTTGACTTTTAAGCCAATTCAAGCTTTTCATCCCAAGAAGTAGCCAATGGTGACTTTCTATTAGTCCCTCTGTTGAGTGTGTTTTCCTGCATGTTCTCTTACACCAAGCCACAGCTGTTTTAGGAATTAGGGAGGAGGTCAAAAGAGCCTCTTTGGGTTTTAGATTAAGAATTCCCCATGGCAGCTGTCTGAGTAAAACAGAGGCATGAGACAAAACTATTTTTTATGCATTATTCTTATCCTAGATAGAAGAGTCCCAACCAGAACTCCCCCACTTCCTTGAAATACCTAAGTTTCATCATTTGATTTTTCCACTGAAAAAGATGGATCCATTGTTTGCAGCAAGATATAATCCTCCTGCTGAAGTAATTTTTAAAAGCATTACATAGTGTGACCCCTCCAAGAAATTATTCCTCATCACTGTAACCGCTGGCTTCATGTTACCTGGGTTCGGAGGTGACATGGCTGCCACCCAGTACCCCAACTGAGGGGCAATGTACGTCCACGTCAGCTGGCTGCCCTCCTGGTGCACAAGGCCCAGACCACTCTTCAGCCACGTTCCTGTGAGGTGAAGAACAAAACTTCAGCTACATGCATGCTGAACTCCTACTTAAGGCTTAACCACATTGTGGTGTAAGTCACCTTAGCTGTCATATTAATAACCCAAGAGATAGCCAAGATAGTTCAAATGACATCTAGGGACCACATACAGCTTTCGGTAGATTCCTTTCTGTACAAATTGAGCAACTTTTGTTTTTCTTTGCCTTCCTGATTAAATTCCCTTCAGCCACTTTAGCAAACATCCTTGTTTCCACTCAGAAGCCTTTGGAGCTGAGAAACAGAGTAAAGGGAGCATGATACCTTTAGATGGATGGAGGTGGGAGAAGGTAGGGGGAGTTCCAGCACTGCATATTTATCCTTAAGCAAAGAAGTGAATTTCCTATTCTGGCTACATCAGAATTACTTACAGAATTAATTACTGTGTTGTTTTTTTCAATTGAGCTAAGGTTGGTTTACAGCACTGTATATGATTCTGAGATACTGGGCACCCTCTACACTTTGCCCCCCTCAGGTAACCCCTTCCCTCAGCCAATTCTACAGTCAGATTTCTAGGTTTTGTTTTGGTTTAGTTTTGTCTATTTCTTTTGTGTTGTTTTTCTATATTCCACATATGAGTGAAATCATCTGGTATTTAACTTTCTTACTTAGGCATTTTAAAAAAATATATAGATTGGTCCCATCTTTGCATATTTTAAGCCAGTAAGCCAGGCTTAGGTGAATATTTGAAAAAGCTTCCAGTTGGTTCTGATGCTTAGAAAAGCTGAGTTAGTTAAGTTCTGCATTCCACCTTTCAGTTATTACTTTAACTAGTACTTAATCATAGTAAATGTATTTTACATACATTTCTATAACTCTCACAAAAACCCTACAAGTAGACTCACTTCCCTTTTTGGATGAGGACACACAAGATCGGTGGGTGACGTAACTTTTCTGAGATCTCCCAATGGTAGCGAGAAGAGTAGGTGCAGACTTAGTTGTGTCTTCAAGGCCGCTGCAACTTCCCCACCTACTGTGCCACATCTCCTGTCAACCTTCCAGCAATTGATGACCTTTTCCCTTAATAAGGCTTCTAGGAGAGGCCCAATGATGTTTGTTAACCTGCCCATGGGTGTTCACTGTCTCCAGTCTCCCCTGCAGCTGGCAATAGAAGGCAAGGGAGAGCACTAGCTATGCCTCCAGATGCATGCGAATGCCCACCCAAACCACCAGCAAGCAGAACTGGGTCACTTATATAGGGCTTCTGCTCTGCCTTCATGCCCACATAGTTCCTCTGATCTGTCAGCTCCTACAAACATCTGCCACCTGTAGAACCCAGTCCACTGGAGGCCTACACATGTCATCTGTGCACCAAATATTCTACCCAATGGTCTCCAAATCCTCGCCTTTCCTGTGCACACACATCACTGAGATGGCAAGAGATGGCAATCGTGGATTATTTTTCCCTTAAAGAAAGAAACAATACTTGGGGCTGCTTCAGGTCTATCAGTTGCCATAGCAACATTCAAATGGAATGGGTGGGAAGGTGCTGGTGGTGAGGACTCCTTTTTGCACACCTCCTCCCCTGCTCAGAGTAAAACAAAGGAGGATGGAAAATCAGAGCGCTTTGCATAGTCTGACCTTCTCATGCAACAGGCTGAATTACTGCTGTGAGGGTTTCAAATCTGTGAGGTGAGAATACAAGCAGAAGGCGCACTTGAGAAAAGGACTCTGAAAGCAAGGATGCCCTCTGCAGCTCATTTGCTGAAGAACACCAACTGAGACATCAGCAGCTCCAGCATCACTAGCTTGTCCAGGGCTACAGAGAACATGAAAACAGGGCATCTGACAAGTGAAGCTAAAGGGTTTCTCTGTTGCCAAGAGAGTTTCCCTGAAGGTAAAGAGCAGACTGTTAGCAAAAGATTCCAGTTTCCCCCTGGGGGATCCCATGCTGTTTAGTTTAGGATTTACATACCATGCCCACACACCTCCCACAATAGCAGCACTGACAGCCTCTCCTATCAGCCAGGAAGTGGCCTGCATTCTTTGGTTTGCAGTTTTCCCCAGATTAGATTAGTGAGTCACCACTCTTCAGTTGGAGCAGATACCAGGTTAGGCTAAAGAGGACCCAGCAGGAAAGAACTGGAAGCACCATGTCCCAATCCCTACCATAATTCAAAACTAAACTACTTCAATTTAATGCTAAATTGCCTTTGTTTTCTACAGTGCGAACATGTGAATATGAAACAGACTTTTAAAATATTTGCCAACTGCAGTGAGGACAGTCAAGTAGGTGGACACCCATCACCACCACCACCACCAGCACCACCAAGCTAATAAGTCCTCCCTAAGTCCCCAAGTCAAGACTGGAGGCCCACAATTGGGCGGGGTGGGGGGCCATACTGGTGGGGGCCAGAAGAGCCACCAGCTGCAAACAACACACTATTTAGGGAGCACAGAGGGCTGAGCTGGTTTCAGGATGAGTTGAGCTCTGATGACCAAGCAAGACTGTCAGTGGGGGATGAGAAGGCAGCTGAGAGACGAGAGCAGCATCCACAATGGCATGGAACGCATAGGGGCATGCGGGATGCAGATACACAAGGATGGGCTAGAGACTCAAGGTGGAGGGGCTGGGAGGGAGAGCAGCAGTTTGCGGTTGGAAAGGAGTCTGCCTGGGAAGGGATTCTCGCATCTTCTGCCCCTGGACCCACTCATGCAAGCAGGATGACAGGGTCAAAGCTTTCCTCACCATCTGCCCTTTACCATCACCGCCTCACCCCATCTCAGTTCTTCCAGGTGAGTCCCTAGAATATTCAGTTAGCCAAGTCTGTGCCACCAACCACTGCTCCAACCTCACAGTTGTACTGGACTTGTCGAAATTTGACCTGTCTTTCAAGATTCAAGTCATGTTTTTCTGGAATCCCCCCAGTAAGCAAGGATCTTCCATGTGGCAGCTGTTCTAAGGCCTCACCTTGTCTGAGTTGCTAACCTCTTGTCCTATGTCTCAGGACAGTTGGTAGGTTCCTTTTATCTTCTCAGCATCCAGAAATATCCTCAAGATTAGGAACTCAGTAGTACATGAGAAGAAGGGAAAGTCAGATGTGCAAAAGCCCTAAAATACAGGTGTACCTCATTTATGGTGCTGCACTTTATTATGCTTTGAAGACACTGGTTTTTGTTTTGGAAGGTTTGTGGCAACCTCACATGGGGCATCTATCAGAGCCATTTTTCTAACAGCATGGGCTCAATTTGCTTTTCAGTTTTAGCAATAAAGTATTATTTCATGAAGGTATGCACATAGTTTTTTAAGACATAATGCTATTGCACACTTAGCAGACGACAGGACAGTGTAAACACCACTTTTATGTGTAGTGGGAAACCAGAACATTTGTGTGACTCACTTTATAGCAGTACTTGTTTAATTGCAGGGGTCTGGAAGTGACTACACAGTATCTCCAAGGTGTGCCTTCCGTGAGAAGCTGGGTGCAGTGGGCAGGAAAGATATGGAGGAAGTGCAGTCTAGAGTCACACTAAAGCAAGCAAAGTCATCTGGGGGAGAGGCATTTATTTTGGCCTAAGTTTTCTACAAATGTACATGTATTCAGTGAATAAAGGGTGACACTGGCCAGGGTTTCAACAATCTTGCTGTTTTTGGCAAAAACATTTCCGAGCTTTCTGTGCTTTGTGGGAGGAAAGAAGCTACAGGGGATATGAGAATTGATGACTTGTGTACTGGAGACATACGCTTCTCATTACTGACTCAGGATGCCACAGGGTGAGAATGCAGCCCCCTCCTGAGAGGCTGTCACACCCTGGAAGATTCCTGCACTCACGGCTGGCGCACCAGTGCTGGCGGCATCACTGGTGATAACAGACGGAAGGCAGGAAAAACTGACTTGGTCCAGTCTCAGCTGTTGTGACACTGCACCTGTAATGGGGTGTGAAGAGCACTGACCCTTCCCTTCCATTTCTGTGGGGGCTTTAAGCAGCTCTCAGACATAATGGGGGGCAGGGGCAACGCTAGGTGATTTCTTCTGGTAGACACAGGAAAGTTCCAACTGCAAGGCCTTTTGCCTGTTCTGTGATCCGTGCAACTTCTTCCTGGCTGGGGTCAGCCTCTGCATCCTCCCGGGTCAGTACAATGGCCTGACAGGCCTTTCTGTGAAGGCTGTCTCCTCTGTGGTCCAGACACACAGGCTGGCACAGCTGCTCCCTCAGAACCACTTGGTTCCTGTGCTTCTCTTCCTCCAACCCGCTCCTTCCAGCCTCTTCCCATCACTTCCTCTGCAAGGATGGTTACTGACTCTCAGGCTCCTCTTCACAAGCAGTCAAGACAGCTGTTGGGGCATGTAGCATCCAGGCAGGTCACCTGGTGAAGGTGTGCAGGTGCACTACCCACTGGCCCAGCCAGGTTGCCACCCAACTTCAAGCTCAGCTCCTGCACAAGGAGGGCAGCTGGCTGTTAAGTGGGTCTTTGGGGAGCAGGCTGGTGGCCACGTGTACCTCTGTGCTCTCACCAAGGCCTGGCAGCGTCTACTAGTGGGACTCCGTGTATGCAAAGGTTATATAGAGAGTCCTGCCCTGCCCCCGCATCCCCCCAGCCCCATCAAGGAAATAAATTCTCCATTACTAAAATTTCTAGATCACTGGGTTTTAAATAGGTTTGAATGCAATTGCACCTTCTCTTTAATGGAATCTGAAGCAGAAATTAATATATAAAAAAGAGAAAAGATAAGCTTCTCTGCAAGAAGGTGAAGAGAATCTCCCCTCCCCATGGTAACCTCCAGGATATCTCCTCAATGTGGTGTGGAAGCTATTGTTCTATATAACTTGGGTCTTATTTGTGAAAATTGAAAAGACAGATTTATTAAAATTCTAAGTAAGTATCATTTACTCCTGCTTCCTAAGTCAAATATAATTTTGATTTTTCAGGTAACTCAGGGTTAAGATGAAGATCAAATACAATGGTGGGTTCAAAATATTCATGCCTTGGGCTCTGAGTGACAACACAGTTAGCTCTTACA